AAAATAGTGCATATTGGACGTGAAGAAGGGAACAAGTTGCACGTGAGGAAAAAAACGCGCCTGATTTAAATGTCACACCTGAACACTCACATCCTTTTAATTATGTTTGAAATTAAGAACATTGCTCAACATCATGAAAATTAAACCTTATTTTCAATAAGCAATCCTGAAAAATATTTGGGGGTGCTTAACTTTTTTCCAGGTGTATATATTATTTCAATGAAACTACTGTAAAGAATAGGAATGCTTTTTCTCCAGTGTTTATGATATATAACTCAGAATAAATCCCACAGAGATCAGCACAAACAGCATTTCCAATGTCATCTAGCGAGTACTGATTATAATAAATGGTAATGTGTAAATAAATAAATTTGGGCAAATAATTAAAAATATGGTGAGAAATGGTTTACCCAAATAATATCTGGCAAGTATTTTTTGAAATGTGGATGGTGCCTGTGTTATCTCAGACAAATCATGGAAGGGGTTAAAACATTACAATAGTACTTTGGTTGTGTCTTACCTAAATATGTTATAGTTAGAGAGACGGTTAAATTGTATTTAGGTTTCACTTTTATATTTTAGTTAATTATGTAATATTTGTGTTTTAAAATGTATATTTGAAAGGTTTAATAATTTTTATAAAATAACCAAAGCTTTGCCTCACTCCTCATTTGTTATATTACCATGCGAGTACAAAAAAAGATTTTGCTGGAGGATAAAGTATCTCTGCTGATCATACCATTCTATCACTTGCGGACACCGGTTGAAGTACGTCGACAAAAATAATCAACGGTAAAGAACAGGAAGGGAAATAAAACATTAAAAATAAACTATAAGTCAAAAGATAAAGACGTGAAATTACACATGACCCAAAGAAAATATTTTTAGATTATTCAACGAAGCATTAAAAGGTATGTACATATTTCTATTTCACACGAACTATTCAGAGTTTGAGTGCAAATAACTAAATAGATAAATAAAATATTTTTAGTAGAAAATCTTATTATCATACTCATAATATTAAAAAAATCTTACTTGTAAAAGAATATGTAAAGAATGCTCAGAATTACAGTAAGTATTCTTGTACAAGTATCCTTTGGTGTAATTTGTACCTGCTCATTACAAAAGGGTTAAATCATGCTGATTATTTGATATGACATTTTTTTAATGAAACTTTTAAGAGTTCATTTTCCATGACCTTCAGGATTTCAAAGGCCTGTCATATACACATACATTAAAAAAATCACCTCATCAACTTGTCATTGTGGACTACTTCTGCTAATTTCTTTTCTCTTAGTTTGGCACGACTGTCATCATTTGCAAAAACTTCTTCATCAGAATCTGAAAAAAAAAGAAAGAAGTATAAAATTAAAACAACTACAACAATAATTTCTATACCAGGAACCTGAAGCTATAATTAACATACACTAATACAGAAATTGAAAGGAAACTATAAATGGATAAAATACTTGCAACAGGTACAGCATAAATTCCCAATCACTTTGTTGACTTAAAATAATTTGGATAATTTTATTTCTAACACCATAGGTATATATATATATATAAAAACAACGTTAATGGTACAGCTTTCACTGGCATTTCATGATTTTCTGTCTTTACACTCTAAGAATTTTAATTTTACTTATTATAAACCTCGGTCGTTGTTTTTATCATGCAACATGCGCTATCATTTTATTAAATCCAACAATGGCAAAAGGTCTAAATTGATTGGTATAAATTTTATCTTAGTCTAAAAATCTTTCAGTACTAGAGGTACTAGTCACATGCTATGAAGTTTAAAAATCATTTTTGAGAAGTAACATATAATACTTTTGTGAACGTAAATTTTGTAGCTTTTTACATTTGTAGGATAACCTTAGGAAATGCTTAAACATTTTGGACATTACTTGAAATAATTTTGTAAAACAGACTATATGTATGATGTGAAACATTGAAGTGCTAAGATACTTCATGACCCATGGACTGCCCAATGGGTCAGTTGATCAAATTTCTGATTTTGCTGTTTATACATTCAAATACTAGCTACTATTTTATACAAAATTTTATGTCTAACACTTTGTTCAGGTTTTAATATACCTTAGAAATTTTTCTTTTAAATACATGTGATATGATGAATTTTAAGTTACAATTAAAGATCCTTAGCTCTTTGCTTTAAACTGGTTAATAGATGTCACACAGTTTGCTTGGTATCATGAAACCCATTAAATACTGTAAAGCTACTGTACTTAATTCAGTGGAACCTTCCTAACAGTTGTTTGAAATGTGATTGCATCTTGTATTTCAAGCACTTTTGAACAAGTTTTTCTACCCGAGTTGATGAAGGTTTCTAAACTTATTTTAAAAACATATTACTTTCTAACATAATGAAAACAGCATAAACAACCTTTGTAAACATAATAAAACATAATTATTTTATTTGTTACTTGTACCATTTACAAATTTTTGCCATATCAAGTTATATATACCAATTACTAAAGATTAATAAAAAAAAAAAGTCTACAACAAACAAATAGAACCACTTTCTTCTTTTAGTTGACATTTAGAAAGTTCTATTTCTTTTTCATAACTGCATCCATTTGAAAAAGACAGATTCAAAAGCCCATCACAAAACATTAGATATTTTTTTAAACTTTTCTCTTACATTGTACCTTATCTAAAAACTTTATTATTGATCTCTCTTCACAGCATGACTACAAATCTTAATCTTAATAATCTGATTACAACTTTATTTTACATATAACAGCTAGTATTGATAAAATAATTCTATGTGGAAATTTATTTATTTTATTTGCACAGCTGTTAAAAACTAATCCTTTTCATTAATTTCTACAAAAACAAACTACCAATTTCCACATTTTCCAGCTTTTCGAGGATAATCACAGCTTCTTCATATTTTTTATGATACCAGTCAGCTGTCTCGTTCAACCTTCTTTTCAACTTCTTCAAAACACTAAAGTAGCCCATGTCAAAAAATCTGTTCCCAAGGCTACCTCTAACTGGAGCTCTGAAAAAAATAAAAACTCTGTATTCTTGGCCAGATTACTTTCATTTTAGAGAAACCCTTGGACTTTTCATTAAGTTCATTAGGAATATCATTTACTTAAAATGTGAAAGAAGATTAAAAGAAACAATCCTCAAAGATTGGACAAATTAAATTCAAGTTTAATAAAAAAAATTATAAGATTAATTAAAATCATAAAAATACATTACAAAGTGATAAGATGACCTAACAATAAAAATATTGTATAAATAAAATTATATAATTATAAATAAAACTTTACAATGGGTTTCTACCAACAAATTTTTGAGGTGTCACACTACAGATTTTCATCTTTTTTTCTAGTATATCAAACATTAAGAGAGTATAAAAGATAGTAAAAATTTGTAGATACAGGTTTTTTTACTTGCAGTAAAAAAGTTTAAATAATTTTTTTCTTGATAATTTAATTCCACACCTTATCTACTATTTTACTGGAGTGTTAACTAAAGAACTTGTCAAGGTTGGGTTACATTAACTAAGAGTTACTTGTTAAGAGTTTCATTAATAGTAAAACCAAACCATAATTCTGTTGACCTCCAAAGCAAAAATAAAAAATATCAGTTTTAAATGTTTATTGTCTGCCAATTTAAAAAGTTCATACGTATAAAATTTTGGTGCAAAAAGCAATTAATGCTGAATAAAAGTCCACATTTGATTTTTTGTGGGTGTTATTTTTGTCTTTAAATGTCTTTCTGTGAAGCACGAAGAATATGAAAACACATATCCTACACACATGATTTTATAAATTTCATAACTTATAAACTGCTCAATTTCAAAGCCGCAATAAGAATGTGAGCATGTTTGGCCATATTAAACTTTATAAAAAGAGCTGCTTGTAAGTTAAATTCTTAGAGCAACAGCTTTCGATTCAATATCTAATAATTATATAACTTACTCAACATCATTTGAAATAAACAAAAAATATCCAGTCTCGTATGTATGACACTTAAACATCATTTAATAAAAAGTTTTGACAACACAACACTGGAATCTATAATAAACTTACCCTCTTTCTCTGGGAACTCTTTGGAGGTAAAAGGTAAAAAACTTCTGCCAAAGAAGTGGCAAAATAGGACTGTCCAATGGTGTGCTTACTGCTTGTTGAGCCCATCGGTAAATAGGTAACTGGTCAATCGGTGGAATGGGAAGTTTTAGTGCAGTGGCCACTTTCTAAAATAATAATAACAATAAAAACATTTGTGTTTTTTGTTACTTTTGCCAATTTATTCACTTATAAATATTCATATTATTGATACAATCAAAAGCTGTAAAATACTTTACACACGAGAGATGGATGAATGATATAATCAAGGAAAATGATAATCAAGCAGCCAATGAACATGCAAATCAGACACAACAAGAGATATTTGAAAACAATTCATACATCTTCATAGTCTATTTTGAAAGTTAAAGTGCAGGCTAATGCAAATTAAACTTAAAATGTAAGAAATAAAATTGATAAAGAAAATGTATTTAAACCTTTAGAGTGCTGTCTATGAAAAACATTTTTGATAAAATCTTTCGAAGATTTGTTACGAAACTTGGGCTACACATTAGTGAACCTAGAGAAATTGACTAATAGTCTTAAAACACACACACACACACATTATCTGAATGGGGTAGAAAGCCAAAATGTTGATAAAGAAAGTCTAATAATGTGAAAATAAAGAACTAATGACCATGGGTTTACATGGATAATTCACTCCGTATCTTTTTACTAGTAGTGGTTTAATGAGTAGCAGATATGATTTAACTCTTTTCGAAAACATTACATTGAGATTAAACTTCTTGAATTTTCCCCACATGTGTATCTTGTACAAATAATTAAAAGTACATTTATTTTTTTATCAACGTTTACAAAGTGTATTTATCTTACAATGTTCAGAGAATGGGAATATTATCAAAAGATTATTAATATATTTTATTTATATAAATTCCACTCTTGAAAATCATTTCTTAAATTAAAGAGCCTAGAGAAATAATGTCACATTCAACTTCAAATGTAACAAAGGAACTCAAGAGTGAAAACTTTACAGTACTAGCTGTGGAAAACACTTTTCATATTGCTCTGGGATCCAAATTGAAAGTTAAGTTGATGTGATTAGAACAAAAAAGCTATAAGCTTAAGCACTGACATTGTGATAGTTTGACACAGTTTTTTCCTTGAAAAATAGCCAATAAGAAAAACAAAAAACATGGGATTATCTACTAGTGTTTAGAAACAGGTTAAACTTTAAAATTATATATGATATTTTTTGATTCAATAAGTTTTAATTTTGTCTACTATATAGTTTGGTGATCATAACGCATGGTGAACGCAGATACAAACACACTAAAAACTGTACAAGAGCTTTAATAAGTTTACTTCAATATCAGTTTCAACGATCCAGTTGTTACTAGATGTATTTTATTATATGAATTAACGTAACTTTCTTTTAAGATTAGTTTACATCTGTCTGAAACTACGTAAATATTTTAATGAGAATTATATCATAAATAATTAACCTAGAAAATTACTGAATTCAGGAAATATTAAAATTCAAAACAAAGAAAAATTAGAATTTGGTGAAAGAGAATTTCAAGTGCAAAATATCTATCATTAAAGGTCACAACCATGCATGATTCGCCATGTGTTTAAAACAACAAACAATGAACCTGAGCTACCTTGATGGCCACAGTAGTTGCTTGCTCAGGATTTCTTTCCAGTTCTTGTAGAATCCCCTTCCATAATGATGAAGATGATGATTCGTTAGTTTCAACACACAAGACGCTCCATGCAAACCATGGAAATTTTGGGAGGGGGTTCAGTGGAAGGAGTGATGGCCATTTATTTCCTCCACCACTTGAAATAAATGATGCTAATGATGAAAATACACCACCTGATGACACTGGAGTTACTGGCTATATAAATGTATAAATAAATTAACTTTTCACTGCAAGAAATTAGATGCAGTATGTAAACTTTAACTTATTTTTCACAAGAACACTTTGTATTCATAGTTCTTAAATAATCACAATTGTACACAACAACTGCATGCATGTAGAACAGCTCATGATGTACAAGAAACCATACAGATATAAAACTGACCTCTTCAAGAATCTTCTCTGGAGCCTACAGTGAAGCAATGAAAGCAAAGAAAAAAGTTTTCTTACAATACTAACAGATTTAAAATTTAATTAAAAAAGATAGAAAGAAATATTATCTTGAAGAATAATAACAAAGTACTTTTTAAGACATGTTTGATATTGTATCTTTTGCGTGTACTACAATGTAAGGCTGATATTAATGATTACTTTGGCACTACATCTGATTTCTCAACTAATAAAAACTGGATACTAAAAATAACTCCTCTTACATGTTAAAAGAATTGCATGGTTTTAAATACACACACATTCAGAACTTAAATAAACAGTTTTCATCTTCAGGCTAAGAAGTTGTAGATAATATCAATCCAGATGTCCAATGATAATCAAATGTTTTAATGTAAGAAAAAACATGATGATAAAGATACCAAATTTTCTGTACTTAGAAGAAATATTTTATTTTTTATTGACAGTTATTAAACAAGAGGTGAGATAAAAGTTTAGAAATATGACAGTAATGTCTGTCCTGTTGTATTATTTTAACATCAGGTTTGGTTTTGTACAATTAAATTAATAAGTACAAGAAAACTTAAGAAATTTGTATTATTACCATATCACATCACTAACAACTTCAACACTGAAATAAAATATCAAAGGTAGGATGTGAATACATAAAAATGTTTCCCGATGAGTCACTGCACAAAAAGATAAATATTATAATCCATCATTTTTTAAAATATTTTTCAGCAAAACTATAAATACTGCATATTCTTTAATCACAAATTTAGTTGTTCTGAAACAAGAGATTGCACTTTTATTGCAAAGAATATAAGTTGAAATATATAATATAGTTTTTATCAGCTCTTACCTTAGAAATTTCTTTTATGGTGTTCATAAGTGAATGTAAAAGTGACTGGTCCAGAAAGGCTACTTTAGTGATCACATCTAACAGAAAAAACACAGAGTCTTGTCCTTTAAGTTTACCAAACAGTCCTCCTTTCTCATTACCAATGTCTGGGAGTTGACTCAGAACTTGAAGCCATAACTTCAAAACTTTCTCTGCCAAATCACTTGCTTGTTGTCTAACAGTATGTAGTTGGTACTTTAAAGTAAAAAAAAATATGTGTGAGTTACAAACAGAAATTTTTAACTACACCTAAGCAATAAGTAATTGAACAAAGTGGAAACAGTAGTACATTGTAATAGTTACATTAATTAGTTTATTACTGATTAATGTCAAAATAAGCAGTGGTTGATTTCTCTGTATACCAGACCACAAAATGCAGAAACTTTGTAAAATCTGAAGATACTCCTGCTTCTGTTTTGTGGCTATATTTAATTAAACATCCTTTACAAAAAATACACCAAAGTTAATACTTTCATACACTGAAAATATAATTCTATACCTCCACCCATAAAACAGCCAGCTTTCCTTCATTTAAACTGCCCTCTATCTGTTCAAATTTTTTGCCCACCACTAGCTTTTATGCTTCCAGTTACTTCCACATGATATAGCTGCTTTGTATCATGCAAATAAGCATGCGACAACCCTCCACCAATAGGAGTGCAATACACCTTCTTAGCACAGCTAACTCCCTCTATGCAATAGAACCCAATCTTCACTTTGAGATTATGCACCAAAAAACACACCAGAAGTGGGGAAGATGGGTGGGAAGTGTGAGCAGAGTTAAGTGTCTATCAGATATATATTTTCAGTGTGGGAATTTATTAACTTCTGATATGAGAGCTAGAATCCCACACTGGCCCAGTGGAGGGACCGGTGTAAAAGTTACCTAGATGAGTCCCCCAGAAAGTGTTGGAAGATGACTCAAGGAGTGTGACATCTCAATGTGGAGGAAACATACATGTGAGAGACCGTACCATATCTCAACCAGATATACTCTTCCACTGAGATGAATGAATGTGTCACAAAATGGGTGGAAAATGAGACACAAAAAGCACCATTGGTGTAGAATAGCTAGTGCATGTTGGACCGTAAGTGGGAGGTTATCTCCAGTCCAAAACTAGCAGTACCAAGATTGGATCAATCAATCCATGGTAGGAGGAGGGTCCTCTACCATTCACCTCAGACCCAGGAACCAGAAAAGAAGAAGTACTTCCATTCCAAGAACCCAAGCCATCATGTGTGCATAACCAACAGAAAGGCGCAGTAGAAAGGAGGGTTCCCATTCGGAGGGGTGAACTGCATAAAGAAATGTGATGGAAAAACTAATTCCACACCGTATGGCATCTGGAATTGTACATCTGACCTGTGGAAAGAGGATATTCATGCCACCTACACTGGCAGAAGAACACTGACCTACTTTCAACTGAGTGGAATTGAACACACTCAGGAGGAAGCCTTCATGGTCCACCACCCAAACAGCTGGAATAGGTAAGTTGTAAGGACTCCATTAGAAGAAGGGGGGGGATGTGTTGGAGAGTCCAGAGGAATGCAGCACCAAAGAAAATGCAATGGGTGACCATGAGTATAGGGTCTTTGATGAACATATTTATGAAGCAAAACACTGCAAGGATGAACCTAAAAGTGTTCTTGTGAACACCCCCATCTCAACAGTGAGCATTAACAATGTTACTCATCATACAGTGCAGATTTAAGAGTTAGTGTACCTGGACAGGCACCACTCACCACAGAGCGGGATCCCCAAAAATGTGAGGCCCCTGAAAAGACACATATCAACCCAAAGATAAACTGATGAGTGAAGGATGGCTACTGGAAGTAGATGATATCCAGCAGATAAGGAAACTGCCGAACAAAGGAAATAATGTGATACAAATGTCTCCTCACTATGTCTTTGGCAGTTTGTCTTCGTTGTCCTTTGGGGAATCAGAAAGAATAAGACATACCTCAAAATTTTCTTAGCCAATAACATTAGACCTGAAGCCATTGAGATAAGTTGTTGGTCACTGATAGTGTCTGAAGCTGTAGTGGTAATGACTTGAAACTGTGTAAGAAAACTTCACAGAAATTATACAAAGTTAACTCAATGTGAAGCAGTAATAAAAGCACATGAAAAAGATGATAAACAAAATTTAAAATTTTTCAAATCTAAACATTTTTTTGAAGCTCAAAACCAAAAAGCAAAGTTAGAAAAAAAATAATTAAAGAAGCAGCGAGTGAGACAACTGATTATTGTTGTACCAAATTGAGAAATGAAGATTGGGTTCTATCGCATAAAGGGAATCAGTTGCATTAAGAGGGTGTGTTGCACTCTATTTGTGGAAGGTAGTCACACGCTTATTTGCATGCTACAATGCAGCTATACCACATGGAAAACATGTGTAAGCATAAAAGCTAGTGGTGGGCACAAAATTTATGCAGATAGAGAGCAGTTTAAATTGAGGAAAGCTGTTTTGTGAGAAGAGGTTAGTTATCATATTGGAAAAGGAAATTTAATCAGGGTCTATGTTTTGAATCAAGCATGAAATGACTTTAAAGGCAATATATTTTTATGTATGTAAAATATTCATTGGTATCATGACCCTATTTCTAATTATAGTATAATATCAATATTACATGCATATATTAAAACAAATAAAAGTCTTACGATCAGAATACCTTCAGAGAAATTTAGTGATTAAGGTTAAAAAATATATATATATACAGTGACTTGACTAAGATTATGGGATAACAAATTTATCATTAAAAAGCATGCTGTAATGTTCTACATAAGCATTTAAAAATATATAACAAAACCTTAACTGCTAAAACAACAATATTTTGGCAAAGAATTCAAATTTATGCTATCAGTTATACTCACTTCAAACATATCATTAAAATTCAATGTTACTTTTTAAAACTTCTCCACAAAGCCTATCATCGCTCTACTTATTTTTACTTCAACTCAACAGTTATGTAACATTTTCTTTCCATTAATATCAAAATGTAACAACTGGTAAAATCAATACAAACATTCTAATACATTTCCAATATAATCATAAATTTTGTAAAATTAAATACTTTACTTACCACCAACATAGCAGCTACTCGATGCAGTACTGTGCCCGGAAATTCTGGGGAAACCAGGTTTTTAGCCATGCTCATATACGTGACATCAGCAGTCACAACATACTGGAGATCTGACAGGAAACTAATAAAAATAAAACAGATCACAAAACTGATTTCAAACATCAATTTAACTTTATCTGACTTAGTGTGAAATCACACTAACAATGGGTTGAATTATATTCTTTTAACAAGGGTTAGGAATTTACTGTTTTGAAATTATGTTAACAAGGAATTTACTATACTCATAAATCAACAAGAGCTATGAATAAGAGTATACAAAAACAGGAAGTAGGTTAAATACCACAGTAAAACTGACAGATTAATGCTACTCATCATTAGTTTAAAAATTTCACAATAACTGAAATATGTTGAAGAGGTAAAATGTTTTAATGAATATTAAAGCAGGTACATACTGATATATCTCTGTTAACTATTATTTGCACACTCTTATCCTAGTTTACACTGTTGTATTGTCTTGCCTGGAAAAGAAATACTTCCTCTAAGAAATGCACAGAAAATGAATATGATTTCTAATTTCAGAGAATCTTTAGAGTTACAAATCCACTTATACTTAATTTTAAACTTTAAAAGATCTAACTTGACGTTGATGTGAAGCTTGTCTTTAGAGGTAGATGATCCATTTTAGAATTTTCATACAAAGCAACACAAACGACTATAAGCACATAACTCTTCACAATTTTGAACTGATACACTATAGGAAAGGCAGCTAGTTAAAAGTCTGATCAGAAAGTGGGATCAAAGTGCAAAATGTATTTTTGCCGCAACGGAATGTCAATCATCAATCCTAATATTTATAGCTCAAACATTCTAACCATTAGAAACCAAGATAATATAAATACAAAGAGTACCCTAAACAGCTTTTATATATATGTTGAAAATATTAAAGTGAATTCATACAATTGTGAATTACCAGTTGTTACTGAAATTTAATGATTATTGCTCAGTAAAGAGAAAACTGAACAATACTGAAGACAGAAAAACTGGCCGTGGTCAAGTTTTTATGATTTTTTTTAACTTTAATATTTTGCGGAAGCATTTAGAATCCCAAAATGAAGAAATTAAAATAAATTTACTGTTAGGGACAGTGAAAAGCAATCGACTGTGAAAGAACTTGGTTTTTAAATTTTAAATACACATAAAATTACCATAGTCGTGAACATTTGTTTATGATTTATGAAACTGAAACACTGCATATTCAATTAAACTTTTAAGGCTTGAATTTGCACTTTTAGTATAAAGTTAACAGAGTAGAGTAGTGCTACCTGACTGAGCTGAATGCAATCTTTCAGTGCGAGATAACACTCAGTTATATTTTACTAATTCACGAAAGGTCCCAAGAAACAAAATAATAACTAATGGGATATTTAGACAGCTTTCTAATGACACACTTGACATTAATTAATCTTAGGTATGAGGAAAAAACTAAAATCCAAACAATAACAAAGTTACATAAGCTTGTGAAGATCAAATTCCCCACTTATTAAACTTGTTTGTTGTTAAGTCCAAACTAGGCAATGAGAAATCTGTGCTCTGCCCACCACAGCTTTTGAAACCTGATTTTGAGCATTCCTTCAGAATTACTTTTGAGCCAATTGGGGGAGGGGGCCTTCCACTTATTTATCATAAATGCTCTTAAATATATTATATTAAGTTTGTGAGGTTTCTCAATAAATTCTGGATGGACGAGTACTTCGTGTGTGAATGTGTGTGTTTGTATTCCATGAAATGTTTCTAGACCAACCGTCATTACTCCAATTTTTATATTTTTGATTTAAAAAAAAACTATATGATCTATTATTAATTTATCAAGTTGGTTTTTTTCTTTAACACTACATACCTTACCAATTCCCCTCAACCATGAGAAAGGCTTTAACTTATTTTCTCGGAACTAAAGTCACACTGAGCTTTACATAGAAGTACCATACCTGTCTGGTGTTAATAACAGATTAGAAATTCCAACCTTAAAAGTGTTTTGAAAATAACTAATCAAGAATGAAAGTAATTTATTACTTCATTTAGATGATGTAATATAGCCTTTAGATCACTTTTTTTAAATTTTTTAGTTGAATAAATAGAATGAGTTAAAGGCATTTATGTAAATTTAAGTAAAACATGATGCAGTAAATTTGAAAATGATGTTCATAAATACAACTGAATACATTTCACCAACTCAATCCAGTTCACACTCTAACAGTTGTTGTCAAGCAATTTGCTAATATAAATAGCATCTTAACCACTATTGTATTTGTAGTATCCCAGGCCAGCCTGAAGACTCCTGGCATTATGTGAAAGGCCTCATCGGCACATGATATAACAGATATAGATTGAATGACACTCTTCTTTACTTTCCATCCGAAGTTCTTAATGTATGACAGACATTTTTAGCATCAGTATTGCCATTGTAAGTATTATATGACAAGTTTAGCAGGATCGCATTAATGCTGGTTTAAAATTAATTTTAACATTTGGTTGGGTGTTAAGCACAAAACTACTCAATGGGCTATCCATGCTCTGCCCAACATGGGTATTGAAACCCACTTTTTTAACATTGTAAGCATGCAAACTTACCACTTAGCTACTGGAGGGTTAATTTTAAAGACAATCATATCAAAAAGTGAGATATACATTTTGAATATTAAGAACTTTTTTCCTCAAAAGTGGTATTGTCATAAAAATATTTATTAACAAAACACAACAAACTGATAAGAAAATAAAGCCTGGCTGTCTTCTTAATAAACTTCATTTTTTAAATCAAACTTTTTAAACTCTCACCTTTTGTTAGTCATTAAAGCTCCTATATTCTTTACAAAGACTAGTGTTATCCAACACAAGACATGGATAGCTGGAATGTACTGTTCTCTTAACATAAGGGCAGTAAGAAGTCGGAATCCATCCTTAGATAAAGCCTCAGTGCTGGAAAATAAAATGCACACACCTCAAGTAGTGTAGCCGGCAGATGTATTCATGCACGGCGAGGATTATGAAAGTTAACAAATCATTTTTATGATTCATTTATTGATTTCTAGCAATTATGAACATAAAAATGTGTTTATATTTTTCTAAAATAAGCCAGTGGTAACATAAAGATCAAAAATACATAAGAATAAAATTATTTTTGCCCACTAGGTGTAATTATTTAAATATCATTTTATTTTATTTTCTATTTTAGTTTTTTTTATTGAAAAGCAATGAGTAGCCTGTGACTTCAAAACATCTCACTCAATACAAGTATGTATCTTGAAAGTATGTATAAACAATATGTGAAAAAGAAATCATTCATATGACTGATGGGATTTGAAAATGAAATGCAATTATAGAATTAATGTTTTACCAGTTATGAATATTAATAGTTTTTTTTGTCCTAACTATGCCAGTACTGAGTGTATGTATACCCGATATAATAAAGAAGTAAACTAGAGAAATACCATCAGTAACCCTAGTAGCCATCCCCACCAACAGATCTTTATTTAGTCATCAGTGGAGTTACAAATACAAAATCTATGCATCTTAAAAGAAAAATAACTTTAAGTTTAAAGGTATTCCAATAACCAAATGTTTATAGGTTAAACGTGATCAATATTCACTAAGTTCTCAAACCATTATTTTTTATTTAAACCCATGATTTTATATCAATTGGATAAAAAGTTCTAAGAAGTTTAAAAATAGTACTAACTTAAAATACAACTGACTGTAGAATTAATTAACATTTACACTAGTTTAAAAATGAAAAAGTAATAAAACTACACTAATTTACAAAAATTATGATTTTAACAAATGCATTGTCATAGAATAAAATTAAAACATCACAATGACAAATATTAAACCTCTAGTTAACACGAGCCAGTGGAATTAGTTGAATAAAACACAATGTAGAACTGAATATTATCTTTAATTGTTAAATACATCTAAAAATAATGAAATTCAAAAATAAGATAAAAAATTACAAAGCATTTTTAACAATATTATGAATTTTGAGATGGAAAAAAAAAGAATTTTTTAATACTTTGACATCAGTTTACTATGGTTGATATCCTGCTTGTGACATTTTATTTCTATTCGTTTTCACAGTTTCCTTGTGAATGTAATTCTATTTGGTGTTTGTAGGTATATAGATGAAGAAAATCAAAATTTTCATTGTCTTATACATTTGGTAACTTCAGTTTGTAGAAATATTTTCTTAAGTACAACAGATAAAAAAATATGTTGTTGTTTTTGAAATTTTCCTACTATTCCTAAAAAAAATTTTAAACAGGTCTTGAAGGAGAAGGTCTTGAAAATAAGATTTTTCTTTAATTGACAAAGACCAGCTTTCCCTAATGAGATCCTCTCAGAAAGGTAGACTAATTATTTAGAATTATGTCCCATATTTTAATACCCAGCTAAGACATGTTCAAGCTCAGAATACATGCAAGTAGGTTAACTTAACCATTCTGTAATCATTCAGTTGCTCACTTTGTACTTACTGGCAAAATGACTTGAGAACTTTTACAAAAACTTTTTTTCTTTAAAAACTACTTTGCTGAAAATTAATTACATTTGCAAACTGTTTACCATGTTTTTTGTAATGACTATTAATTAAGTTGCTTAACCCACCTATCAGTTTTTATAAAGATTCAGGTGTCTATATAAACTATAAAGCCTAATACATAAAAAATTGAATTAATGTTAACAAGTTCTCACCTGTGGCCAACAGTTGTCATAGCAATAGCTACGTAACATGCAACTGGTTGTTTATCCTGCACAGCTCGTAGTAATGAATGTAGCCAGGAGCTTTGGTGTAAGTCAGGTAAAGTCTGCAAGCTGATATCACGCCATTCTATCACATCCCTCCAGTTGGTCTTTGGACTGTCACACAAGTGAAGCCTAAGAGTTAAAAGTAAGTCCCATGCCCAAACAGTAAACCCCTGCTCTGTTGTAGTCATTGCTGCAGTAGCACTCATGGTTATCAGTTGGGTCAGCTGTATAGAAGAGAAAGTACACGTAAAAACATTTTAGGTCACTGTTTTGTATTTAGGGCACCCACAAAAAAGTAGGGTTTATTACCCAAAAACATAAAAACTGTTGAGAAAGATACAAGAATCTCAGGTTTATAACTACAATTAATCAAAAGAAGACAAAATATTCCTTATTCAGTAGTCCTTAATTCTTTCAGCATGGGCTCGGTCCCTGGGATCATTTTGTGCTTGTTATAGTTTTCATGCTATAATTGTAATGTTTACTGATAATCTGCCAAATTTTGTTAACATTTGCTTACTAATTTAAAAGCGCTTTCATACTCAAAATATCAAATTTTTTTATTCAGTCTTAAGGTTTTTAAAGCAATGTTTTTCTCATCCCTTTTTTGTTTTTTTCACATGTTGCCTATATATCATGCAGAGTAATTTTCATTTTAAGATTAAAAATACTTTTATGCAGCAGAAAATTTTGAAATTTTAAATGCAAAATCTTTATAATGTTAAGATAGTTATCAAACATTTCTTAGAAAAAAATTTAATTTTATCTGTTATTTTATGTAATTAATCTCTGTACGGGTTCGGCAGATTTGACCGATCTCGCAACCACCATAAAAACTTAGGAAATAAATATAAATTATGCCTCTTTCATTCTGGAATGAATACAAATTATAACATGAAAACATATATGTTTAGACTAAATATCTTAAATCTTTTAACATTATACATTTATATATATTTATTATTTTTATTATATTGACCTTTCAGCCATACCTGGTTAACAATACAGAAGTTCAAATGACGCGGCTCGCGTGCACTCATGTTTTCGTATCAAATAACATAAAACTAACCTTTGGTCTGTACAAAGTAACTTGTCTTGGCTGTGTTTCAGTATACTAGTGTTTTGTAAAATTCATTCACATTTCAATTATTATACATCATATATCTACATATATTATTGTTATTTAAAAATAAGCTCTTAAACTTATTTTTCTTAAAACATAGAACAGTAAATAAAGAAGTAAAGCAAACAATTATCTCTTCTAGTTATGACCTTTGTTCTGCTTGACATAGGTTGCTAAGCCTTTAAAAATTTGGCACATGGAGGATATGAAACAATATATTTTTTTTAGGTTTTATATATACATTTGAATAACTAAAAAAATCATAAATTACTACATTAATACAATAGAATTCCACTATAATTCATCAAGCTTAGTAACTGAGATGTATTTTAGTCTAAAAAATATGAAATTTTGAGCAGACTAAAGACACAACCTACCTCCTTGAAATCTTGGTTCTAAAGAAAGAAATGGTGTTCAAACACATTAAAATGGCTGAGAAAGCTAACTAGGAGGACATTCTGAGCTTCCAATTGGTTATTTATGTAATATATAGAAGTAAGTGTATATAAGGGTGCAAAAATTAAAAGAAGTGGGCTGGGTGCCACTGTGTTTGAGTTATTACATCAGCAACATCTTAGCAAATAGAAAAGATAAGACCTTCTTATTTTATACTCTAGCTTGTCAATATCGGTAATTTGAGTTTCTAATTCATACGAAACTATAGACTTAGTATTTTGACTTCACAAACATCTAATTTGAACCAGTGCTGCATTCAACATTCCACGTGACACACAAAAATCGATGTTTATCTGTGTTTTTGATATTAACTTTAAGATTAAGAAATTGAGTATTGTATAGTACTAAAATATGAATCATAATCTACAGTTCTATACATAATCTATAGTTCAATAAAATTTTGAATGCGAGTCAACAAACAAGATGACATGGCCTTTCAACCGTGACCCATCTCGAAAGGGTTAATGAAGAAGAGTTTCAAACTGATAAATCTAGTACACAATTAACTCATCTCTGTAACAACTAGAGGACCCAGAATGTGGAAGAATAGGTGTAGAGATTTTCATTGGTGGAGGAATAAGAGACAAGACTTGTTGTGAAGTTGAAGCAAAAATAAATACTATCTGGTGTAAAAAAACAGAAAAAGAACATACAGGTGAAAAAGGCTACTGCATTTTTATTTTACTTTTCAACTAAACCCATTAACTGTAAAGATAAACACATAATAAGTAAAAGTAATGGGTAAAAGATAAAAATATGGACAAAACTTCAAGAGCAACTCTTTGCTCTTTAGGACATAAATGAACCTGTCTGAAAACACCAGAACATTTCCATAATTATCATTCCCTCTGTGATCAACCAATCAGAAAACTGGATTTCAAGTATTCCTGCGACAGTCATTAAGCAGACTGCTCTACACAAGGTAAATAGGAATAAAATAGTTTCTGTGATCAAATTATACCTTCTTACATAAAGTAACACTTTGGGCTAAATTTAGCAAATTAACTCTAACCAGATTTAGCATGTTCTAAATTAGATTCTAAAAGAAGAAAAAGAGACTTTTGTAGATACAAAAAAATGTGAGGTATGTAGTAATTACCACAATACTATTTTACAGTTTACATAAGCAAAAATCCAAAATCCACATTCTAGGTCCATCTTATATATTTGTATCAAACTGTTTTTCTCATTGCCTGCAATGTCAATCTGATAAAAAAATATATATAAAATTAAAAATGCTCTTTATATGGTACTGATTATACACATATCTTCATAAGCATACGAGACGTATGACTACTGAGCTGTAATTGTTATTACTGAAATCCTGCCCTTCTGTTTAAACACAGGATGAAAGACGTGTTTCATTTATCAGCTGATATTCAACAGAAACTCAAACTGTATTTGCATGTTGAAAAAAGTACTTATCTTGTCTGTTCTTTCTATAATATAACACCATAAACATACTGTTTTACTCAGTATGTTGATTTTTTAAAACAAACTCTCCAAGAATTGTTTTATGTCTACAATGTCAATTTTACCCTTACTAGTAAAATGCACCGATAAGATTTTATGGCCTACTTCTAAATTACAAGAATTCAAACAGACATAATTACTGTTTTTTCAGTTTTACTCTTACTAGTAAAATGCACTGATAAGATTTTATGGCCTACTTCTAAATTACAAGAAAATGCAATAATTCAGACATAATTATTGTTTTTTTCAGTTTTACTCTTACTAGTAAAATGCACTGATAGGATTTTATGGCCTATTTCAAAATTATAAAAAAATGCAATAATTTTCATACAATCAAAGTTGGTTTTTCTATTAAATCTTGCAAACAAGACAAACCAAAATTTCACTTTATTTTGACAAGCATATAAAATGTATTTAGACATGAATGTCAAGTACAAAAGCAATTAGACAGTATGCCAAGCATCTCACTTGTAGGCAGAATGAAGATGATTTGCAGTGTTATACTGGAAATAAACATATATATTCTAGAATTTAAAAAATGCTTCTTTAATTTATTCATTGAAATCAAATTTGTGTTCACTTTCACACTGTTAAAACTAAATCATAACTTTTGAATAAAGGTGAAAATATTCCAGGTATTTCTTTTACTAGCTCACCTGTTGAAAACTCTGATGGACTAGTCCTCCTTTTTCCCATCTTACTCCATACTTGCTGTAAGCCTCAACCACAGAAAGAGCCACTCGTCTGTGAATGTCTTTACTGAGGTACAGATCTGTACCCTGTAAACAAAGTTGGAAGTTTACATTTTTTTAAATCAAATGCTTAATACTAGTTTGTGTTTTATTATATATGAAATATACAAATTTCTTTATTAACCCTTTCCACATGGGTCCTCCTTCAAAAACTTTCTGGCACAAGTCACTGTATTAATTTCAAAATTTAATTAAACACCTTCACTATCAATTTATGTTAATTTCATAATAACATAATTAAAATAATGTGTACAAGATACTTATCATCATTAACAAAATATTAGCAGGTTTTGTGAGGATATCTCAGAGTTACTGTACGTATTGTTGCATAAATGTCCTTCCCCAGTTAGTTTCCTTATACCCAAGCATATAATTAAGGGGAAAAAATTCAATTAAAACTCAAAAAGTTATATCTTTTCCAAACTTTGATAACAGAAAAAGAAAAAACTGCATTAACACAAAATAAGTTTCACTGTCAACCTTAGATAGCTAACCAATATGAATTTTAACACTAGCATAAATACCTGTTGGTTTGGACCCCAGTTCAGAGAACATAAGATGACCCTTGCAAGTTGGTTCTGTGGACTGGAGAGAGGATTTGATATCAACCAGTTGGAAATTACATCCAGATCTTGGTCCAGTGGTTGCCACTGTTTTAGAGACAGTACTCGGAAAAGGTAGAGTGCCATCTAGAATAAAATACATGCCTTATGTTTTTTACCAAACAAAACCTTTCAGAACTTACAAGATAACATTTGTTTTTATAATCTGACAAAAAGGACCATCTTTGTTCAAATAATTTTTATTAAACGTTTTAAAAATTGCAGAAATTGGAAAATATGCATAAGAAAAACAAATTCTTTAACCATTCCCACACCTACAGAGGAAAACTAAGATATAAGTAAGATATAAAGGGAAGACTTTTGACAAAAAAAATTGTCAAATATCTGTGCATTTTATATATTGTACAATTTTAATGCTATGAGGAAAAGAGTCAATGAAAACTTTCTACCGTGCCCAAACTATCAAAGTGTTCTTGAACTTCTGACAACAAAGAAGAGACAACTGCTGGATGTTTCTGACTTAGTGAGGCCAAAAGGTCGCGCCCTTCTTTACACAACATTTCTCTAAGTTCTTGGTTCACAAATGATATCTGGTAAAAAAAAACACATTTTATTTACTAAAAGACTGCATATGACATATTCATACAAGTTCTATATTGTCTACTAGTTGTTAGTAAATCATACAGAAGTGTATAACGATATGATAAAATTATGCATAAAAAAAAAACAATAATATAAATAAAAAGACAGTTATTCAATGAGTGATTAATTCAAAGTAGATAACTTTTTCTACAGAAGAGGATACTGCAACTGATGTTCTCAAAAATGTCAATATGAATTATCTTGAAACTTACTGTATAGTTGCTTAGTAATTGCAATAAACAGTGACAATAGTGGAGTTTGCCATTTTGACTAAATCAGATGCGACTTTTATTCACTAAATTATATTTTTTCCTTTCAAATCCAAAACCAACAGTTCCATAAAAAACACTTTTACCTACACTGTAATAAAAATTAATGATCAGTAGTTAATAAGCCGACTTTTGTAGAAATTTACACTGAACCAATGAATGCAAAATCACAGATTTAAAATAAATTTTATAATCAAAGAAGCTTTAATAGTTTTTGTTTCTTAAGGATATACTTTGATAAAGCTACTTGAAAGTTACATACCTTACAGTCAATCCCACAAATACACTGAGAATATTATTCTCTTATTTTCTTTGTCAAAATGACAAATAAGCTCAAGTTAAAGCAATAAGTTCACATAATTTTAAAGGCACTAAAACCATTTTCGTGTGCTCACTTTCCACCCTGCACTACAATCAATTTCAAATACTGTTCTGTGATTTTTCTTTGTCTAAATGAGAGTAGGTTAAGAATCAAAACCTTAATTTGTTACCATTACAAACTAAGATAAGTAATATTAATTTTCTCACAAAAAAAAGTAAAATATTAAATACCACAAGAGGAGTATTTAGGTGTTTCAAGAAAAGCAAAACAGATAAAAAGCACACATTTTATTCAGAATGTACATATTGTAATTTCTGTGACCTTCTCAAACCTGGTAATAAACTTTTTCTACTTCTGGAATTCAAAACTAGAACAACAAAAACAGAACAGAACAGATAAAACATTTAAAGTAGCAAATACAGAAGTACAAAGTGATAAGTTAAGATCATGCATCATTCAATATTCAGAAATAGCTCAAGCTTTATTTATATTAATATTATTATTTTCACCTAGAATCATTTCAAAGTTAAACAAGTATATACCTTTAAATAAAAATTCATATGGATCACATTGATAATCCTAAAGTTAACCACTTTCCTCAAATTATTAGAAGAAAAAAAACATTAAAAGTAATATCCTACACTAACCTCAAAGATTTCTATAGCTACAGTTTCAACAAAACTCATTTCCTTTTCACTGCGGGAAGCTGCCATATTGGCGAAAGCTGTGAGAAGATAAAAAGCTTCAGATTCTTCCATGTCTCGGAGGTTGTCTTCAAATAAAGATCTCAAAGATTTGTCTGTGTAAACAGAAAATTAAAAATTGTTTAGAATCAAACATATACTTCATATGAGTGCTTCTACAGAATCAGTTTGCCTTCAAACATACCCCTCAACACATTTCTTACAAGTACAGCTTATGCAATTTCAATATAATTATCTTCTTGCTGAGCATACAAGAGAATTTTATATCACAATTTCAACCATTAATTCTAATTACCTAACTCTGACTACCCTAGCTGTGTTTATATTCTGGATTTACTTAGATAATATTCCCTGACCAATTTGATAATTACTTTTCATAATGTGCTGGAGGACAACAATTAAAAGACTATTACCTTTAGTTTAAAAATCATTAAAACAAAGTGAATTTCATAATTTTTACTTTGATGATTTATTTTAGCTGGTTTACGTCAATCATTATCAGTACATGTACATTTCTCTTGCCTTCTGCTGTAAACAGCATTTCTCAGCATAACAAAATTCAAAATACTTATGATATGTTCTGCCTTCAAAAAATAAAAAAAGGCTTCTATTTTAATTATATGAAGTCATTATGCAACAAAGAAATAGATATATATTAGATTATTCCATAGAGAAAATAGCAACCTTATCTGCTTTTGGAATTATCAAAATAAAAAAATACTGAACCAATTTTTTAAAGAAAAAAACAAACATAAATACCATCATTTAGCTTGTTTATTGTGAATACCATTTAGCTAACAGTAAGAGTTTTGCTTCATTGTTGCTTTAAACTAAAATATAAGAGTATAAACAAAGCTAACTTAAAATTCTAGCATTCCAGTTTTATAATATAACTAAACTTAATTCTAGCTTTCCAGTTTTGTAATATAGCTAAACTTAACTCTAGCTTTTCAGTTTTATAATATAGCTAAACTTAACTCTAGCTTTTCAGTTTTATAATATAGCTATCTAGAACTCTGGTTTTCCAGTTTTACAATATAGCTACCTTGAATCTAGCTTTCCAGTTTTATAATATGCTTTTTTAAAATTTTATCTTTCCAGTTTTATAAAATAGCTACCTTCAACTCTAGCTTTCCAGTTTTATAATATAACTAAACTTAATTCTAGCTTTCCAGTTTTATAATATAGCTACCTAGAACTCTAATTTTCCAGTTTTATAATATAGCTACCTTTAACTCCAGCTTTCCAGTTTAATAATATAGCTACCTTGAATCTAGCTTTCCAGTTTTATAATATGCTTTTTTAAAATTTTATCTTTCCAGTTTTGTAAAATAGCTACCTTCAACTCTAGCTTTCCAGTTTTCCTCGTCATATGCTGCTACTACTTGTTCTTCCTGATAATTATTGTGCAACAGCCACAGAAGCCTCCACATCATTGGAGCTGATACACATGTGTATGGTAAAACTGCCATAAACTGCCAAGCCCCTAGGCTTAAAGGGCAGTAAAACAATGTGTTAAAAATTTCAAATTAAATCATAAACAATTAAAAGTCAAGCATGTGTCATAAGCCATCCTTCAGTAGATTTTCAACTTCTTCGTGTATCTTCACTGACATTTAAGCTCAACAATTAAGCTAAGAGAGAACACAGCTTTAGCTAGAAAAGCATTCTGAATGGTCAAATGCAACATTTGATAAGTAGTTAGTTGAAAAGAATAACCCATCATTTAGTTGGGTAAATAACTTTTGACTTAAGAATTCTGTTTCAAAGAAGTCTATAAATACAAAATTATGTGATATTACAGGAGATAAATTATAACCCACAAGTTAAGTTCACATATAATCTGGAAATGATTTCTTATACATAACAAGCGAGAATGTTTGTTATTAAGCACAAATGTACACTGTAGGTTGCCTATGTTACGCACAATACACGTATTAAAAGTGATTTACCACTCAGCTACCAGGGACAAGAGAGAGATTGAAAATTATTAGGCTTAAACATACCAAATGAAAAAGTTCAATAAAGTTACAAATAAAGAAGTTCCAACAGATACAGCTAATGGTCCAATTTTCAAATGTGTTAAAATAATAGGCTAGAAATAAAACATTATAAAAACTAAGTTTCTTGTACTGTAAATTACTTCTAGAAAATCTAGAAAAAGAATAGGGATAAACAAAAAATAATTTTACAAAACTATGAATAATACAAAAAAAACAAAATTTTAAAATTAATTTATTTCTAAAGTAGACAACTCCTATCTGGTAGCCTAAAAATTAATATTTTGGGCCACAAAAGAAATAAAGACAGTAACAACTATTCCCAACTATTTTTTTATGGAAAGTTTTGAATAAAACATTTTTGTCAAATTAGCCGACTTCAAGTAACAAACTTGTCAATCTCAGCACTTTAATAGACGTCCTTTGCTTTAAGCATTATTTTTTCTTTCATGCAAACTTATGATAATACTATATTTCTAGTGAGTTTTTTTTTTCTAGCCTCCATAGGAAAAACATTTTAAGTTTATTGACAAACAAAGGATACCAGATCAAAAAAACCTAAAGCTGCTTGATGTTCAGTATACAAAGGTTTAGAGATTAACAACATTTCTGATTTCTAAATTTCTAAAAAGACTATTAAGATATCTCATTTCAAAATAAGATTGTAAATTGTTCAAGTTTTTCATTAATAACTTTTATTTTGTAAAATAATAAGTTCTTATTTTGCTTGCCATATATTTCGAGATACCAGCTACAATCAAGCACCCACTCAACAACAAATGAATAAAAAATATAAGTTGTTTATCAAATAAAAGTGACTATAATAAAATAAAAACAAATGGTCACTGACCACTGAGATGAAAAGATACAGTTAACTGCCCGTAAGAAAAACTGATCAAACTCCACTTGAAGGCGTAACATAAGAGCCTGATCAGTAAGTAGATTGGACTCCCTGAAGTTTAACCAATGATCAGATACATATTGGATTGTATGTCTTTATAAAGGAAAAAAAAGAAGACATTAATACATTTTTTACAATGCACTGAAACCATATCATAAGTTCATTATTATTATAAGAAATGCTTAATTTTAATTTTTTAAATTTGCTTAAATCTAAATACTTTATTTTTTAATAAATAGCAGCAACGACTGATATATTTGTGGTTACAGCAGCAGACCCTTCATGATACAATTGTTTTCTATCTGTTCACAGTTATACTTTGCTGATGTTGTGACCATTACCTGACTTCACTTACAATGTACATTTTATTGTTTCTTTTTCAAAATACTACTTTGAATTATATCTTGTAACTTATAAAACAACATTTATTTGTTTACAAACTGTGAAGTAGAATTTATGCTCTCATAATTTAATGAGTTCTTTGTATCAAGTTTCTGCAATTTTAAAATGTTTATCACTATCACTTTTTAAAGTTTTTTAAAAACAATTTAACTGTGATTTTACAATATTGTACACTTTTCATTTCCATACCTAATAAGCCTGCTGATTCGTTTAGTCAGTTGTCGGTAACGTCTCAAGTGGAAGTTTTTTAAACCTTCTCGGAAAATGTTCAGAAGTTGCGTGGAGAATGCCAGAATTTTTAGCATACCATTTGGAGTGGTACATCGGATATCGTAATGATCAACATCTACTATACACAAAAAATAGTCTCACAGAAACATTTACTATAAAGTATTACTGGTACAAAGTTAGCATAATACAATACTTAAAACAACATAAAATATTTAAACAACATGACGAAAAAATAAACACAAACAGTAGCAGTGGGTCCCATCATGGTCTAGTTACATCTAATTAGATATTCAAAAGAACTAAATAAACTTTGGTTTATCAGAGCTTGATAAATTAATATATATTTATATACTTCTATTTCAAACTAAGTATCACTTCTAAGTATTTAAAAAAAAAACAATTGATGTTAAATAAAAGTTAAATAGTTACAAAAATTGGTCATTGACTTACACAGTCTAAATAAACATATATAAACGTTACTAATATTTTTGGAACATGATCTACTAACTCACCTTCTCTCGCTTCAATAAGCAAAATATGACGAAATAGAGTAGCAATGGGTATCTGATTCAAGAAAGCTACAATATCATTCTCCAGCCAGTGAAACCACTGATTTTCTTGGTCTTCATCCTACATAGATCTTTGTATTGATAAATGACCACAGGACAATTTTTACATCAACAGTGCACCATCATTTTGATGATCATTATTCAAAAACCTTCAAAATTACACTATATCTACTCAAAATTATAATTAAACATCTAATAAAAATCCTTATAACTTGCAACTTCATTTGCTGAATAAAGATATGAATCCGTCCTAAATTTTAACTTATCTGTACAACACATATTAAACTAAATGTGACGTAATTCCTTTTCAGACACATTTTGACACAAAATGATTTGATTTTTTTGACACAAAGAAAGATCAAAACTTTTTAAAAAATTTCAGTCAATTAGTTTCGGTAACACTCGGTACTTACTAGCCCTGATGATGGTAACCGTGTTGCAAAAACTAGTTGGCTGAAATCTTTAATAAAGATTTTATCTTTCATTATGAGAAAAAAATGCTGTCTTTGTTTTTTACTCTTAACATAAATGTGAAGTCCTGTAACTATGAGGTGTTTAGGAAGAAATATATGCATCTTACTGAATTTACTTTGAGTGAATTAACAAGAAATTTGACAATACTAGATTTCAATATCTTTTGCTAGTTATAACTAAACAAATAAATAACAAGAACATAGGCTCTTTTAAAACTTTTGCAACATTAGTTCTAGAAGCAATCTTGCAAAACTTAGCAATAACCAATGGCCAATTCCAGTTAATAAAGTTACGTTAACTGTATACAACAAACCAGCCCTTGCCTCTTCACCCTCTGAATCAACTAGCACCCACACACTGTCTTTTACAGGATCCACCACAGCTGAATCATTATCCTTTGATGATTTCAAACGAAGAAGAAAATCCATTCGAGCCCTAGAGTAATAATAATACTAGCTATAGAAATATTTAAATGTAAATGTTTTTCTACATATCTATATTAATTTGTCCAGACGTAGGAAAAAATAGCATTTCAGATCTACCTTTTGTCCAAGAAGCTTTTCATTCAATACCAGAACTCATCAGTTGGGCTAGATGATGAGTGACAAAAGGCTTGATGAAACACTATTTATATACATACATACAGTATAATACTTAAAGAGTTATGGTAACTATTAAAATAATAAAACTAAGTTTACATAAAATTCTGCAAACTTTAAAAGAGGTATAAAGAATAGAAAATGTCAGTTTTTGTAGACCTAGTATTCAATATCCAGTACAATATCTTAATGTAAAATGTTTCTGCCCATCTTAAAGTACAGGTTTATATTTGACAAGAAATTCTTGTCCTTTGTTCTCAAAGTTCTGTTCAACATGTGATTTCTCTTCTCTTTCTCTGACTTCATGAGTACAACCTCTTGTTCAAACCATTTTTATGACTTCATGACATGTGCTGTGAGAGCACACACTCATTTCTCTTGTCGGGTTTTAGGTCTTAAAGACCTGGGAGAGTCAGGTGCTTTTGACCTCTTCCTCCCTCCTTGTGTGTGGTAATAGTTTCAGGGAAATGGTTGCAGTTACAGGAGAATACTAAAATAATCACCACATGAGGGTCAAAGTAACCTGCACTTATTCCGACTCTGTGATGTGAGTAACTAAATAACTCTCTCAACAGGGGCTCGATCAATTTGACTGACCATGTGACCTCTTTGTACTCGTTTAAAGTCTTTATAGATTTAATACTTTTAACTTTCAATATAGTATGTATATCTTCACAAAATTTGGCAGTCTTTCGGTTAATATTATACGTCTTTCACATACAAAAAATCATATTTTTAGTGAAGTATGTTTAATAAAATAAAATAAAGATTTGTTGAAGAAGATATTGAGTATTTGTTTTGAATAGTCTGTGTGCAGAATAATTTTCATGTTAAAATTAAAATAATTTTCCTTATTTCAAAAATCTCAAATTTCCTCTGTGAAATCCCTAAACCTCCTAAATGCATTTCAAACGTTTTTTTTCAGTAAAACTTTATTGTTTATCTGTTATTTTCTCTACCTTATCTCAAACAGAATCAATCAAATCGACTGACCTTGTAACCACCGAAAAAACAACAACGAAATAAATCTAAATTACCCTTTTTTCTTTCAGGAATGACTTCAAATTGTAGCATGAAACTACATTTGTGTATCTTAAGTAGCTCTAAGTTCTTAACAGTATACCTCTATATCTGTTTATAATTAAATTTTATTTTTTAGTGCCCTTTGAACTGTGTCTAACTACTATCCGTGCCATTATAAGCTGTAGATCACTTGGGCAACGTGCAGCTCACGTTACACTAATGAATTACATTACCCACAAGCTGCTCACGTGTGTGCCTCATGAAATGTTTTTATTATAATATTATTATTATTTATTTTACCTAACATAAAAGGATCCCTATTTTTACATTTTAGTTACTTTTATAATTATACATAAAGGATAAATAAGAAAAACTAGAAATAAAATATTTAACCAATCTAATTTTTTCTTGCTGTTGATTATCGAAGAGAGTTAACCCTAACTATTATGTACTAATGATAGTAATGCACTTAATAATTTTTATTTAATTAAATAATGCACCAAACAATATAGATTAATAACATGCAAAAAGAAGACAAATTCCCTTACCTCTCAAAATGTTTCTGGCTTGCTAACTATGTGACAAGAATCATTACAAATTCATTGTTAACTTTCTCACGAGAACAATGCTGGTACTCTGAGTGAAATTGACATTTAACCATTCAGAACATAACGTTATACAATACATCATTTGACAGATGAAAACCTTGACTTCCTATTAGTTATAGGTAATATATAATGAAACGTAAGAAAGAACTATAAACAAATCCTGAAAGAGATGATATGACAGGTGAGTGTGGCAGGAGGGGTTTGATTTTCTATTCTATAGCTCAGAAACCAAACAAAATTGAAGACTATAAAACATATGGTTTGTCGGACCAATGTCGATTTTATAGTGAGTAATTTACGTTTAATTTTGTACTTTTCCAATGGGTGGTAGATAAAAAAAGAGGAGACAAAATGCCTAGAGAAAATGTATTATGTGAGGCACACTATGGGATTTTTTTAAATATTGCCTTGAAGAATTAAGAACTTAAAACTTGTATACTATTGAAATATGGATTATTAGTTAAGATTTTATGCTATTCTAATTGGTATAACATAAACAAAAAGTAGTTTAATAAAATTTTGAAAGTAAGACACTAAAACCTTGTGTCATGAGCAGTAAAGGATAACCGTGGCGATAGGAATAATGAAGCTTGGTTTTGAAAACAGCTACAGGCAAAGTTTAAATACCATTGGATATAGCAGATTACAAACTATTTCCATCAATGTAGAGTAAATAAAGTGGTGAGAAAAGAAACTTATAGTCCTGTAGGGAAAAGGACAAGACCTAGCTCTTGCTGAGAAGAACCCTGGAATCTAATGGAAAGTTTCAAAGATTTAGCAACAAACTACAGACCTGGAAAAGTTCTTACAGTATTTTCAGATGTCCTTTATCTATAAAAGGTTTAAAGTATGGTAGGAGATGACAAAATATTCTGATAACTCAAATATGACTTCAATCCTTATCTATTGAATATGATTATTAAGTTTGTTGTATTCAAACAACAAAAATGAATAAAATAACTTTTTATTTATTCAAAATATTTGTTTGTTTGCTATTAATCACAATGCTACACAATGGGCTATCTATGCTGTGCTCACTATGGGTATCAAAACTCTATTTGTAGCATTGTAAGCCTTCAGACTTACCAATGAGATACATATTGTTGCCCAGTCTGACCTGATGCTATTTTGAAAGATCAGGTCCTAGGTCATCCATAAATCTTTGTCAGTTTCTCAGGTGTTATTTACAATTTATAGGTGAAATGGTTGACTACTACAATTGTCAAAATAAAATAAAATTAAGTTTATGCTGACTGAATCCATAAAATGGAACTTTCTGATCAAATAAAAAAAATTAAATTCAATAATGAAGGGAAGTATTTCAAACGTTTTTCAAAACAGTATCTCACAGCAAGTTTTTTGGAAATTTCCCAAAATGAAAAATTATAGAAAACTCACTAAAATAATATTAATATTTTTCAGCTGAAACCTAGATACTATTTGATAAGTTTGTTCTAAGTTTTATGCAATCTGGTTAAATATTTCCGCTGTGAGAAGTGACACCTCTCTAGTCCAGAAAGGAATAAATGTAATGGGAAATCTCTAATGTACTAGCGTACATAGCTGCTCTTCTCGACCTAAATCTAAATAGAGAAGCAACTTACATGCCCAAAACTGGACTGAAGGAGAACATTCTTTTTCATGTGAATTACTAAGTAATATTTATTTAACCAAAAACAATTCTATCTGAGTAAGGAAAGCTGACAATGCCCAGAGGCAAGTTACACTTACAAATAGTCACATGTTAAATCAATGATTTTAATTAACATTTTCTTCATTTTCAAATCAAACTATATATTTTCACAAAGAAAGCATTACCTTCCTTAGTCTTAAAACCAAATCTAGAAAAGGAAAAACGTCTAAAAAAACTAAGTTTATGAGACACAACACATTGTTTTATGTCACATCATAATGGGAAATTAATTTTCAGATAAGATAAAAATTAACTTTTTTTGTTTAAAAATTAGACTAAAAAACTGAAGCCAACTGTACAAGATGCTATGAAATAAAAACAAGATTTCAGGGAAATTTGTTTTTTTATGATAGTTTACTATACAGCCATCTAAATGTCTGTAAAAAGAAAAGTTAATAGTGATGAGATGAAATGAACTATTCTAAAAGAAATGAAAAGGAGAAACAGTAAACCTTCCATATACATTGAATAACAATTAATTCCACTTAAATGTTACCTTAACCTTGGCTTTATTATCCAATTCTATAGACTTGGTAAAAAAAAAAAATACTCACTTCACTGGGAATAACAGCGTAGCCAATGTTGTGACCACATGATCTAAATACAATGATCCAAACTCAGTCTCCTCAAAAAAGGACCAGTTTGATAGATTAATAGGTTGGATATATGAAGCTGCCCAATGGCCTGTACCTGGAGGACATCGAAGAATGTGGTTCAAAAGAAACAGATGGTCATCAAAAGTTGATACACGAAGTAATATGGCAACCTGGATGAGAAGTAGAATACTCATAAATAATCTATAAGCTTGTTTTAAGTTTAATAATTCCACCAAGATTCTTATTTAAAAAAAAAAAAAAAACTTTTATCCACGAGTGACATCAAATTTCAATGTCATAATTTCTATAATTGATTGCATTTAACTGATAAACCATTAAAGTTTGAAATAAACTTATAAAATCAATACTAATCTAACATTTTTTTAAACATTTTCAGTTAACAAATTATAAGTACCATTTATTTCATTGAATATTATCAACTGATACATTCTATTGGTCACTAAACATAATACATTTTAATTTTTTAGCCAAGGTTAGAGAGAAATATTTGGTTTTAATCCATTTATGTTATAACCATCACTGAACATTACTGTGAAAACAACAGTAAAGACTATAAATGCATCTGAATAAATTTAATATTAATGGTAACCTGTGTAATATTTTTATTAGTTAGAATCATCAACAATATTTGGTCATCAAGAAATTAATGTCACATTTTGGAACACTTTCATTAACCACCCCCCCAATAAACATACATCACGTATAATAGTTAAATGAACTGTCTAAATGTCATGTTAGTGTAGCCTGTACAATGTGTAAAGTTTAGTATACTGTAATCCCTTATAGTGATGGTACACGACGAGACACACATTCAGCATGTAATACTGTTTGAATACAAGAGGGGAAACAATGCTTCTGTAGCCACAAAGAATATCAACAAAGAAGTTTAGGGAAATGTTTTGAATGTTCGTAAGTGTCAACGATGGTTCTGCAAATTTCTTTCAGGTGACTTTAGCCTTAAAAACTGTGATGGCAGGGGCCGACATGTTGGAATTGATACTGATGCTCTGAAGACGCTTGTTGAGTCTAATCCAAGGCAACACACTCATGAAGTAGTCCTGAAATTGCATGTCTCTCATGAAACAATATGTAAACATCTAAAGAATGTGGGAAAACTCCATAAAGAAGGTGTATGGGTACCTCACAAACTCTCAAATGATCATCATTTCCAACGTGTGAACATTGCTTCATCTCTTATGGCACGTAATGCACATGAACCATTTTTGGACAGAATTGTCACTGGTGATGAAAACTGGATTCTCTATGCGAATATTAAATGCCAAAAACAATGGCTCAGTCCTAGACAAAAAAACCACTTCCGACCCCAAAACCTGGACTCCATCTGCAGAAAGTGATGCTTTGCAATTGATGGGGCATCAAAGGAGTAATTCATTTCAAACTCCTCAATCCACAGCAAACTATGAATGCAGAGATCTATAGTCAGAAATTGGAATAATAAATGAAGCCCTTCATCAGAAACATCCTTCACTCATCAATCAGAAAAGTGTTTTCCTCCACGACAATGCACGTCCACATGTGGCACGTTGGACGCAACACAAGAATATGGAGTTGGGTTGGGAAGTTCTCCCCCACCCACCATATTCTTCAGATATAGCACCATCAGATTACCATCATTTTCGTTTGCTGCAATACCATCTTAATGGGAAAACATATGCAAATGTGGAAGGTGTTAAAGAGGACATTGACAGGTTTTTTGCTTCAAAGCCATTAACAGGGCATTAACAACCTGATTGTAAGTTGGAAAAGCATCATCGATAAGAATAGAGACTATTTCATTTAATAAATGTTTTAACATACAAGTTGTTAGGGTTTTTTCATTTTAAAAATGCGACATTAGTTTCTTTACGACCTAATACTTAACTTTCACAAACTTCACCAGTATTTAAGCCATTAGCAAATTTGAATCCAAACATGCTTTCTTCAGCAAATAGCTTTTGTCTAAGAATAATTCCAAAGTGCTGAATAACAACTAAACTTTATTTTGGTTTTTTACAATAAGACTTACATACAATAAATTCAAATCTAAAATACTCAAATTATACTCTGGTTTTAAAATCAGTAAACCTTATTTACCAATGAAGTTAGCCAATAACGGGTATCTTCAACAAACTGTGTGTCTTTACACTGCCTTCGCTGAAACATAAACAGGATGCTTATACAGATTTTAAGACTGTTGATTTGCTGTTTCCATGCAGGATTTAGTGTTTCAGGTGAAAAGCCTGAAAATTTTTAAAAACATATACCCTGTGAATACAGACTTGTATTTTGAATTTTTAGTACATGTGATGTACAAAATACTGTACAAGTAATTAAAAAAAGAACAGAATTTAAACAATTAAGGCTTGACCTATATTCTGGTTAAATAAAACACATGAAGAAACTGAGCATAAATACACTATACTCCATAATAAGCTCATTCATTCTATATAAATCTGGGTTCTGAAATATATCTGCTTAGATAAAAATGTACACTGTAAAGTAATAGTCAACAATACACTTATAAATTAAATGGCCCACTGGTCCAAAGTTAACATTTTCAAACACTGAAAATGTATTTCCAATAGGTACCTACCTCCTTTCACCCATAGCTATCTCGACCTTCATTTGCCCTCTAGGCATTGGTAAATCTTATGAACGCAGCACCAGCCTTTTGTACCCCTATATTTTTTTGCATCATTACAGCAACATGTGCTGATCATGTGACTACCCTCGTTCATATAATGATGATTCCAAAGACCCAACAAACGAAGATGATGTGCAAAGGTAGACAACCTGACAGAACACATATGGAGCTAAGGCAAGTCCAAATGGTAGTGCACGGAACTGGAACACATCTTCCCTTGGACAAACCAAAGATAACGACATGACTCCTGAGCAATGGGGTTATGAAAGTGTGCATCTGTCACGTCAAATTTGGTTATCTAAAGATCCAGGGAAATAACACACCAAAGAGAGAGGTAGAATGAATCCATGGTGAATTGGGGTGTGTCCAGAAAGGCATTCAGCCAGGATATATTGATAATAGGTCTCCAATCTCCCATCTTTTTGGGGACAACAAACAGACAAGTAAAAACCTGGATGAACAGGCCCCACAGATTCTACAGAAGATTGAAAACTGACTCTACTAGACGACTGGACAAGACACGATCCTGAGGAGGAGGAAAAGAAAGTGGGACAGGGGAGGATAGGATTGGAATTGAATGCATAGACCCTCTGAGAGAACCTATAACATCCATAGATCCATCGTGAAGGATTTCTAGATTGAAGAAAAGAGTTGTAACCTGGCCCCCATCTGCCCATGGAAAAAACATCCCAGCACTGATAACAGTGAGGCCAAGAGGAACGAGAATGGGATAAACAGGGGTAAGGAAGGGAATGTCAGGATTAGGGAAAAGGGTGGGGCAAAGAAGAATAAGGAGCACGGGGCACTTGAACAGGCAAAGATTGAGCAGAATCAGTAGGGAAAGACAAAAGAGAAGCAGGGGAGGACAAAGAAGAATGTAATCTTGCCACATTGACCCTGGACTCCAAAGACTGTTTTGTGCAGAAATAGGACTTGGCAAAGTTCTCATAACAACGAAAGGGGAGATGCACCTATGCAAGTAAATCCCAACAACATAAAATCCAAATGATGAGGGACAAAGCTTAAGCCAACATTCGAGCCACAGTAAACCAGAAAATGGCCAAGAACTGATCAGGAGACTGGTGGAAGGCCTGAGATAACGACTGTAAAGAGGAAAGAACACGTAAAATATTGGTCAACGTAATGCGAATCATAGTAAACTGGGACCTATTAAAGTGAACCAAGAAATCAGGGTTAGAACTCCACAAGGGAGAGGATCTAAACACTGAGAATCCAAAGAGGGATTTGAGGCATGTTGGTAAACAAAAGAGAATTGGTCCAAAACCCGAGTGAGACGAGCCATACCCACTCCCGACTGTACCTGACAGCAAAACGTTGAACATCAACAGAAATGTTGGGAGAGGAAGGAAAATAATAATAATAATAATCGGAAAGAAGTGCTTCTACAAGCAAGGAAGAAGTAGAAGAATCAAGGGTTAAAGGGGAGAGATGTAAAATTTGACAAACCTGATCAAGAAGGTGAAAAAAAGGCATGGTTGGCAAACTCTCCTCACTGTCAGTGTTATGAAAAAAATAATAATAGGAAAGGAACCAGCAAATGAACAAATAATTCCAACTAAAAGTGAAAACTAGCAAGAAAAAGCAAAAAAACATAGCAAAATTTGCTTGAAGAACAACTGAAAACACACGTCTGAACACTGTAGTGCCAATTGAGAAAGTGAGAATTGTGCTGCAACGGTAGAGGGAGCTATCTGTGCTAGTATAGAGGGTGCAGTGGGATTGGTAGAGGATGGTCACATGATCAGCATATGTTGCTGTAATGACAAAAAAATAAAAGACTGGTGCACTGTTCATAAGATTTACCAATGCCTAGAGGACAAATGAAGGTCAAGGTAGCTATGTGGTAGTAGAGGTCGTTCCATTTCGCAATGAAAAATATTAGAAAATGAAATGTTATAATACAATAATATTTCATTGTGATTCACAATCCTGATTAATAAAGAAGCTTTCAGGCATTAATGCTTGAAATCTGGTCCAGCTGACTTACTACTTATATGTCTATCACCAAAACAAACCTGAAACTGGAGCATTGCTGGGTATGTCCTTTAAAACAGGTGATAAAGAGATCAAGTTGAAAATGTAGCTGTCTACCTGGATCCTTGACATCTGAGCAGAATATGCATATAACGTGTATATTTCCTGGATGGTCTCTCGTAATTCTCTCAGTATTTCCTCAACAGCTGCTCCTACATCACTGTTATATTTGGCTGACACAAAACTATGTACACCTGTTACATTCTTCTTGTCAGCACACTGTCCCTAGATCAAAATTAAAACTCTCTCACTTTAGATAGGTATATATATATATATACACACACACAGAGTAAATACAGAAATTTTATATCATCTACTGACTACTAATTTTGAAAACTCAGCACCATTTATGATAGAACACTGCAGTTGTATACTTCTCAACTTGTTCAATCTTCAACTTATCAAGTTTACTTCCAGTTCTCATGGAAATAGCCCAAAGATTATGGTGTAAAGTCAAATACAGATAAAAAAAAATATCAACAATCTTTATATCAATAAACATTATGATATTTATATTAAGATAATAAAACATTAATTCTACTATTTTTTTGGGTCTATTTAACTTTACACTGGTTTCCATGATGTTATGATGCATTTAAATATATCTTTGGCTATATTATAATGAGAGTTTACACTAATTTCTAATGCTTAATATAAAGAGAAAAAATTAGGTAAAGAAAAAATATCAATTCAAGGCTGTTTCAATTTATTTGAAATTGCATCAGGTCAATATGTTTGTTTGTTTTCTGAATTTCATGCAAAGCTACATGAGGGCTATATGCACTAGCCGTCTATAATTTAGCAGTGAAAGACTAGAGGGAAGACAGCTAGTCATCACCATCTACTGCCAACTTTTGGGCTACTCTTTTATCAATGAATAGTGAGATTGACATCACATTATAATGCCCCCATGGCTGAAAGGGTGAGCATGTTTGGTGGAACAGGGATGCAACTAACCCACAACCCTCAGATTGTGAGTCAAGCATCCTAACCACCTGGCCATGTCGGGCCAGGTCAATATGACTTGAAACATAACAAAAGTACCTAAATTCTGAACTTATTAGGAGGGTTAAGGCAATAAATTTGATATAGCAACTAGAAATAACACAAAACTGAAGAATTTGTCTGTCAATAGATTAACAACAACAGATTCATCTTTGCTCTCAGAAACACACAGCTTGAGGCAGCCACTGAAAGAAATATCTATAATGTGACAAAAACTGACTGAAAAAGGAACTCAATCTCTTTGAGATGACTGCAAGAAGCAATTAAATCTAAATTTAGCTAAACTATACACAAAGACACTTATGTAATTTTCACAAGTTCCAACACTTTACACAAATTACACAAAAAGGTGTTTTAACAAGAATCTCAGTGCTAGAAATGATTTGATTCTTTGTTCTTTAAACAACCAATATCTTGAAAGTTGATAAGTTTATGCTTTAATTAACTAATTAATCTGAATCATACCCGCAAGCTCTTAATAATGCAACAGATTATTGAGCTATTTCTCAGTATATATTTCTTTTATTTTCTGAACAGTCGTTACCTACATATATCAAGACAAGAATTAAGTTTTTGACTTCACAAACCACTTTACAATTACTTTTGAACATTCACAAACCACATGATCGTGAAACCTGTGAGGGACGGAAGCTGACATATCTGCATTAACAGCTTGAATACATTGATCAATAACAAACACTAGATCACCTTGCAAGCTACAGGAAGACTGTATGAGTACAGCTTCTAAAGAAGTTGTAAGCTCTGATATTGTTCAAAATATCTGCATAATAACTGATGTTGACTTTCAAATTCATTGTACAAAAATGAACAGCATGGTTGTGAACAAAATCTGGATTCTGGTGAAAGCAAAGCTTATGTACATCCTCCTGATGCAAGCACAATAATTCATGTGAAATCTTAGAAAGTGGAGAACTATGGCTGTTGGTAAGTTGATTTAAATACAGAAACTTTTTTTTATCATTAAATCCTATGTAATTGAGAATGATCACACCAGTGATCGAAATATTGTACCTGTTTAAAAAAATATTCTTCCTTATTGTAAAAGCTGTAACTTGTAATTAAATAAAAGAATTTAATGTTCTTTGTTGGATAATGTAAGTGCTTGATTGAGCTGTTGCTTAAATACTGACCTTTCTGGAGGCAGTTTCATGTATCATGCTCCAAAGTCTCTCTCTCTGATGGCCATACTTCTTCTGTAGTTCTGACACCTCTTCTGACGTGTTGATCAGATTACAACGTGCACGGAAATATCCCAAAAGAAGCTCATAGAACTCATGACATTCAACATTCCTGTTGCTCTGAACAAGTGAAAAACTTGGTAAATTTTAAACACACAAGCAAAAATAGTGCGTATGTCCATAATCATAGTAATCTGATATTCAAATCTATCATTAATAACCAAGACTACTTAAGCACAATATTTTTTTTTGAAGAAATACTCAAATGATACAGGAAAATCATTATGTGTATATATATCAAACAGTTAGTGCTAAACCTCAATGTGTCATCATAACCTCTTACTCTGCTGCTAAAACAAGAGGACAGGGGCTGCTAAAATGGATATTACACCATTCTTATCTTCATATGAAATTAAAACAGAAAGTGTTAAAAGTATCGGTAAGAAGATACCATAATGCAAAGTCTAAAGTCCTGAAATAAGAACAAAAAGATGAATAACATACTAAAGTTAGAACAATGATGTGTATCAAATAAAAAGTTATAAAATGGACTAACATCAATTGAATGTATATATACATGTACCATATTACTACATTTACTCTTAGTATAATCATATACACAAGCTGGCCAATAATAGATTATTTCAGAACTTTTGTGAAGAGCTACACTAAGGGCTATCTGTACATAGCTGTTTCTAATTTTGAAGTGACAGATTAGATGAAAAGCAGACAGTCAACAGCACCCACAACAAATATTTGGACTACTCTTGTCTGACCAAAAAGTGGATTTAACTGTGATTTTTATAGTACATTCAAGACCCCAAAGTGTGAAGTACATCCTTGCAACAATGACATGAACTAAAACCCTTTGATTCACAGTCTGAGCATTCTATCAACTATGCCATGCTCAGTCTTACAACAATAAAAAATGAAACAAAAGCATAATACTTTTAAATACATTGTTTAAATACCATAAATATTTATTTTCAGTGACCAAGATCAGGCTAACAGCTTTTTGCCACTCAAGAAATGTAGATAACATATTACAATCAGATTGGCATGACCGGCAATAAGCTCATGGCTGCGATCTAATATCAAACTTTCATCTGAAGTACTTCTTAGGTTCTAATTCACTCATGGCTCCAGGAAGTGGTGTTGAAATGTTTACTTAGCAACTTCTGTAAAACTTCCTAGTTAGACTGGAATGTAATCATTTGACATCACAATGTAAAACCTGTGATTAAACATGCACCTAAACATGAAATAAGGAGTGCAATTATACACCTCAAAAACCAAAGGCCTGTAAAATAGTATTGACTACTTTTCTTCAATAATATTCCCTAACAACATTCCTTAAAATATATAAAGCTGCCTCTTTTTGGCAGTATATGCCATAGTGTGTGTAGAGCTGGACAATAATCTATTATCTATGAGCAATAATAGATACCCAAGCTCTAAGCGTATGAAACAGTGAGATTATACAAAACTGCACTAAAGTGGTCTCCAATATGAAAAAACAATCCCCTGCTGAAATTGCTAAATCAAAAAAATTGTTGTCATTTTTTATTCTTTTATTTAATTTTATAAGCAGGTCAATAGCAATATCAAAAACAAGACAAATGAAAAGTTTATGAAAATGGTTCAGTCTATAATCTAGCAGAAAAAACTCATTACTATAACACAATGACAAGTGACTAAGAAAAATAAGCTGTTCCTCCAATATTTGTGCAAAAAAACATAATGTATATAGATATATATTTTGCAAATAAGTTTATTTGTGAATTAGGCATGCATTAGTTTTTGAATTTATGTTGAAACAGTGTTTGTGAAGTTAAGCCGATCAGTGAATGTAGCCTATGGCAAATGTTATTGAACAAATAAATTAATGTTATTGTTATGTGGACTGGACTTCCCATTATTTTTAGCAAATAATCCAATAAAATCCACCCAATGATAGAGTAATTTACAAAAGCATTTCAGAAATCAGTGATGTTCATTAATATAAAATTGATTTTTGCAGTATTAGTTGCCTCTTAATAGTTTTTGTGGCTACATAAAGATACTGCAATTAGTGAAACTGTTGAATAAAAAGTCTGTGGATTTGGATTAAAAACATACATTTTATATATATATATATATGTTTAAATTGTATATTTCAATGTCAATGGTCTTAGAATAAATATTCTAAATGGTGTATTTTAAGTCTCAAACTATCTTTAAATATCTCTCAATATAAATTTTGAAACGTGTATTTAAATATTGATCTTGTGAGTATCTTAAGCAGATTTAAAAAAAAAGTACCTTGAATATTAGTTTGTGGATTTTTTAACTAAAACAGCACAAAATAAATGTTAGGTTTGATATGTTTCATTAAAAACATGAACTGTCTATAATTAGCACTGGGTATTGTGGGAATAAATTTTCTTCATGACCTTCTCTTTGAATAGGTACTATATCAGGACTTTTGTTGACTACTTTTAAGACAGGTTCTTCTACGTTTGGAATTTTACATCATTTTGCTCGTAACTGCAACATTTGGTAAACATAAAAGTAAACAACAAAAAACCCAAAATAAATTTCTGCATCAGTATCAATGACGAGTGCCTTTTTTGATGATGATGAACTTCCAGTGTAAAAGTTTACATTGAACTTTTCATACTGTCTAATGGCATATCTATATTGCTTGAAGCTATTAAAACAGGTGATCTATTGAGTTCAACAAGCAGACTGGCATGATACTGATAGGTCCAGTCACTGAGCCAGTACTGTCAATGACAACATGACAAAAGCTACTCTTACCAATTTTTTAATTTGGCTTAACTCCTATTTTTTTAACACCATGTGCTCCATATGTAGTGAAATATTACTTTGCAAAAGCAAAACCAGAACTATTAATTAATTATTTTGCAAAATTTGTTGCAAAATCAAACACTACTAGAGATGAATAAAATGAAACAGCTTTTACAGTTACAAAAACAGAATACTTCAGTATTTTATTTTCAAATAAAGGTTTTAAGTAGTTTCAGGCCATGGAGACAGGCTCAATCAATAGGGCTGACCTCGTAATCACCAGGTAACAATGAAACTATACATACTACAACTCTGAATGTATTAAGTGTATTTTTTTGAAATTT